AGGTGTGGCTTGTAGGAAGGGTCCTTGCATTTTCCTCAGAAAACATATTACCAATGCGCCTGCGAGGAAAGAAACAAACATTCAATTAATTCTATTGACCCTGTCAGCTAACCCAAAGATAAACGCGGTGAGTGGACGGTGGTTGGGTTGGAATATCCAGAATTGAGATGGATCACTCGATCTGAGTACAAACTATTAGAAAGGAGCAGATTGCTTGCAGCTTTTAAGCCAATTCCATAACCATCCTTCCCCCCACCAAATTCAATCTTAAAAAAATGACGGATGCAATTGTTACGGTTGTCGTGGAGCAGCTAACAACAATCCTCCTTGAAAAGACAAAACGAGAGGTGAAACTGGTCACTGGGGTGGGGAGAGATCTCAAGAAGCTAAAAAGCAATCTTGAGTCCATCCATGCTTTGCTTGGTGATGCTGAGGAAAGGCAGATCAAGGACAACAGCATCAAGCTTTGGTTAAAGAAGCTCAAACAAGTATGTTATGACATGGAGGATGTGTTAGACGAGTGGAATACTTCATCCTTGATGTTGCAAAAAGATGAAGCAGATAAGAAGAACTTTTCTCCTTTCAAGGGAAAGGCATGTCGTCCCTTCAATCCATGTTTCTCTTTTGGCCAAGTTGTTCAACATCGTGGCATTGCTCTTAAAATAAAGGACATTGGTGATAGATTAAATGAAATTGATGAGGAGAAAAATCAGTATCAATTGGCACAAAGGAAAATTACGGAGTCTAGAAGAGAAGAGAGTACAAGTTATACTGAGCTGTCAAAGCTCCATGGTCGAGATAAGGAAATGAAAGACTTAATAAACAGTTTGTTGTGTGGTAGTAGTGATCCAGGACCAGGAGAGAGTGATGCCAAAACCATCTTTGTTGTAGGCATGGGTGGTGTGGGTAAAACAGCCCTTGCCCAGCTGGTTTTCAGTGATGGTGAAGTTATGGGGCATTTTGATCACAGAATATGGGTTTGTGTATCAGAAGTTTTTGATGGGAACAGAGTTGCAAGGAAATTATTGTTTCTCTTGAAAGTCTCGATCATGTTTCAGCTCGAGATCTTGATTCTGTTTCACTGCAAATTCTTGTGGAGAAAATTTGCAAATCTATTCAGAGGAAGAAGGTTCTTCTTGCTCTGGATGAGGTGTGGACAGATAAAAGTAGTAGCTTGGAATCACTGAATGTAGCTTTCAACCATGCAGCACCTGAAAGTAGGATTTTGGTCACCACTCGGAAGGAGACAGTTTAGAGACCATGAAATCCTGTCGTGTCTTTTATCTAAAGCAACTGAATGAAGATGATAGTTGGAAAATACTAAGCCAAGAAGCTTTTGTTGGAAAAACTGATGAACAATGTAAAAGTTTGGAGGACATGGGAAGAAAAATTGCAGAGAAATGTAGTGGACTGCCACTGGTGGCGAAAGCTCTAGGAAGCATGCTGCGTTTCAGGGAAACAGAAGAAGAATGGGAAAATATCTTGAACACTGAGGTATGGCATTTAGAATTAAAAGAAGTTTTTGCTGCTTTGCTGTTGAGTTATTATGGTTTACCCTCAGCAGAAAAACAACGCTTTTTGTACTGTTCAATCTTTCCAAAGGATTTTGACATCAAAAGAGATGACCTGATTCATCAGTGGATGGCACAAGGTTATTTGAGCTCTAGTCAGAATCAAGAGATGGAAATTATTGGAGTTATGTGCTTTCAGTGCTTGGTGGCACGATCTTTCTTTCAAGATCTTGAAAAACATGAAGATGGCAGCAGAACATGCAAGATCCATGACATAGTAGTGGACTTCGTTTGAGATTTGATGCAAAATGAACTTGTGTTCAAGCTTCAAACTGCTGTAAGCCTGTAACACTTGCAGAGGAAACTCACCATCTGTCGGTAGTACTGGCAGGCCATACACGTTTCCTTACTTCCATTCTTGGTGCGGTAAAATTGCGAAGCCTGAACATCTTCAAGATTGATGATGAAGAAGAAGAAGAAACTGATAAGTGTTTGAGTAACTTGTTTATTCAGGCAAAACATCTGCGTTTACTGAATTTCCATGGTGGCACTGGTAATATTGGTGGATTTCCTAAAGAAATAGGCAAGTTGATGCATCTGAGACTGATTAACTTGTCTGATAGTAAGTTGAAGAGATTACCTGAAGCAATACGCAAATCATGTAATTTGCAATCTTTATATCTAAGAAGATGTTATTATCTGGAGAAATTGCCAGATAAGATGGAGAAATTGATCAGCTTAAGGTATCTTGATACAACTGAGTGTTGTATGACTTGCTATCCCAAAGGAATTGGGAGACTAACATCTCTGAGGGATTTAAAGGGGATTGTGCCTTGTTTCTTCTCTTTGTTATGTTTGTTTTATTGTACTATATGCGTTTCCATGGTTTCTCTGTTGGATGACAGAATACAAAACTTATAATCTTGTCTTCGATACTTTATGATCAAATTCCTTTTCATAAAAAAGGAAAGGTTAAATGATAAATTTGGTCCCTCTACTTTAGTGAGTTGCATATTTTGGGTCCTTTAATAATTTTTTACACTTTTTTTATCCCTCAACTATACGAAATGCACTCCGTTAGTCCTTCTGTTAGGTTGAGCCGTTAACCCTGCTTAGGTGGCATTTTTTATATTTTTTTTTGATGATGTGGAGAGAAAAACTTAAAAAAGTAATGATTTGCATAAAACTTTGCCATGTCACATACTACCCGGTGAAAACACACCAAATCCATCCAAGTGGATCCCACATCACCATTAAGAATTGCTTCTTTTCCGTTGGTTACTGTTTCTATTCTTTTCATAAACGGTGTTCTTTCCATTTTCAAGATTGAAGTTCGATAGAACAAAACCCAACAAATATGTTCCATTGAACCCAACTCGATTCACTGAACTCAATTGCTCAAAAATCCCTGCAATTTGGATAATCTCTTGGCAAACAATCATATAACAAAAAAAAAAAATCAGTTGCCCAAAAATCCCTCACAACAACCTGCAATTCGGATAATCTCTTGGCAAACAATCATATAAAAAAAAAAAAAAGTGGAGTTGGGTTCTGGGTTTGGTCGAACCCAGCAACTGGGTTCGACGGAACCTAGCTTGGGTTCAATGACCTGAGGAAGAAAGAAGAGGAAGGAAAAAAAAGTAAAAGAGAAAGGAAGAAGATGAACGTGAGTTTTTTTATTTTATTTTTAAAAAATATAAATACTAATAATATGAGTTGGTATGAAAAAAAATCCACATCAACACGTTTTCAATTTGTTTTTGTCACGTTATCAAAAAAATTATAAAAAATGCCACATAAGCGAGTTAACGATCGAAATTAACAGAAGGATTAACGGAATGCATTTCGTATAGTTGAAGGATCAAAAAAGTGAAAAAAATTGTTGAGGGACCAAAAATGTTCATTTCATAAAGTTGAAGGACCAAATTAAGCATTTAACCAAAAGGAAAAATGGAAATCATATTGGCTCTACCACAAGCATCAGGACCCAACAAGAAACCTTTGCGTTGGGCATAAGAAATTACTGACATGAAAAAGAGTAGCGCATATTATGCTAGTGACAATGACCCCCATAAGTTCAAAGCATCAGTATCACTAGTTTAGATTATCTTAGTAAACTTAATTTTA